TAAAATACCATCAGTTATGTCAACTTATGACACGGAAAGTGAGAGATCCATGGTTGTTTCTGATATCGAAGTTGAGTCATGAAACTGATGGAATTATCAGACGATGGTGTCACAGCTAACTCAATATCAAACAGGGAACATGAAGGGATTCCTATCCCGAATCTGTAGACACAAAACCACGTCAAATTTTAGTCTCCACATGGTTTACTGATAAAATATCTTTTAAAGATATTTCAAATAAGAAGCAACGAGTACTAGAAGTTCACATGCCTCTAAGTAAAAAGAGACTTAATAAAGAGTTTTTTAAAGAATATATTGATTTTAAACACAAATATTATATCTATTTCGAAAACTCGGAATTCAGGAAATCTTTTACTAAAGTAGTAATCAAATTATACAAAAAAGGAACTTATAATTTAATCGAATGTACAGACAGAATAGTTAATCTAACCGATTCAGAACACGACCAAAGACGAGTAGTTGTAGCGTACCACGAAGGGAAAACGTGTCATAGAGGTATCAACGAGACCTTAGCAAAAATCAAAAGACACTACTGGTGGGCAAATATGAAAGAAACTATAACAGCCATTATTAATTCATGCGAGCCATGTCGAAAAATGAAATACGAAAGAAAACCACTAAAACCTTTCATTCAACTAACACAAAATCAATTCATCCAAGAAGACTTCATGAATCTTTTATTTATAGAAAAACAGTATTGCCTTACTGTGGTCGATGCTTTCAGTAAGCTTGGACAGGCTATAAACATTCCCAATATAAGTACACCAGAAGTAGTCAGAGCATTAATAAAATATTTCAGTATGTACGAAATTCCACGCAAAATAAACAGCGATTCTGGAACTGAATTAAATAACGAGCTAATTAAAGAACTTTTAAACCTGTACAAAATAGAACTTTACATTAGCACACCAAATAATCCTAGCTCAGTGGCCATAGTGGAAAATTCCACTCCACAGTAATCGAAATATATAGATTAGCAAAGTATGATAAAAGCGATCTTGATGCATGTTCAGTAATGACGTACGCTATAATGGCATACAATAATAGCATCCATTCAGCAACGGAATTTACGCCTTTTGAAATAGTTTTTGGTAATACTGACAGCGGTAATATTTTTGATATTAATAGGGAACACAACCTAATGCAAAAGCTATTACAAGATCACAGAAAACGTCTAAAAGTACTCTACAAATATGTTGGGGAAAAACTAAAAGATAATAAAGCTAAAGTTAGGGACAAGAAAGGAGGTGAAGAAATACCAAAAATCAAAGAAGGTGACACAGTATTTATGAAAACAACTCGGACAAGGAAAGATAAGGAATTACCACGTTATGAAAAAGCAAAAGTAATAGGTGAATCAAATCGTAACATTGTTCCAGTAGAGTTAAATAAAAGAAGAACTAGAGTAGCTGCTAAAAATATAAAACGTCCTCCACAGGTCGTGGCTGGTACTTCTAGCACTTGTGAACCAGATCCATAGCCTGGAACTTCAAAATCTGAAGCGGAACCCGGGAATAACCCCACTGAAGTATGGGACAGCAGTGATGAGGAGTAGTTATTGGACAGTTTACAAAACAGTAGAGATAAACGCATTAGGAATACAAATTAATAATAATATAAATATATACGACAAAATTAATATAATTATAACATAAAATAGCTTAGAAAAAGAACTATTAGTTATACAAAAACAAATAGATTGGTTAGTTAAAGTAGTTCAGGACAAATACGATCAAATAAATCCTAGCCATAAAAGAAAAAGAGCCATTATGAGTCCTTTGGGGTCCATAATAAAAATTATATTATTTAGATGAAGAAGATGCCATCAAATTCAACGAGGAAATTGCAAATTTGAGAGTTAAAGAAAACTTTGCAGAACGTAAAGTATCGTCAATGCAAAAAGCGTTTAACGCGTTAACCAATATATCTGAGCTTATCAATAGTAACGTTGAAAACTTGCACTTTAAGTTTAAACAAGTAGACAAACTAGAGTCAAATACTGACAATCTCATTCGTACAATGAATAGCCTTTATCAAATTCTTAATAACTTTCGTTATATTTATGAAAACATCCAGGAAATAGAAACAGCCATAGCATTCAGTAAATTACGCACTCTACATCAATCCATCATTAATTCTACAGAATTACTAAACGTTTTTAAAACTATAGAACAAAATGCACAAACTATTTACCCAGTAACAAGAAATAACTTATTAAAATTAGAACGTAACATTACCTAAAATGTTATATAGATAAAGATAAACTAGTTTTTATTTTAGAAATACCATTAATAGAAAAAGAAACGTATAACTATTACAAGATTATTCCCATCCCTATAAAAAATTGACCAACACCTATACTATAGTTCCTAAATATCCCTACCTATTAGTGAATGGTTTGAAATACAGAAACGTAGTAAATCCGTGTACCCAGATAGAGCCGAACAAACACTTATGTTCGGAGGAAAATATGGCACCAGTTGAGGAAGAAACATGCATTGATGAAATAATGCTGATTAAAAACAACTTCAGTCCTTGCCATCAACATGAAATAAAAATAGAGAAGCTGAAAATACAGAAAATAACTTTTGACCACTGGATACTATATGAAGAAGACGATGTTATACGGACAGAGCAGTGCAAAGATGATACCTACAGAGTTAATCTACAGTTGACATACATCTTGCCGCCGAGCAAAGGTTGCTGCAGCATACAAATAGGAAAAATAATAATTGGCCTATCGAGCAATATGTCAGATGCCAGCCTGCAGATACCACTTGTGAAGATTCCGGAGGTGCAGTACGACATGGCGAAAGAAGGAAAAAGATTGGACGTAACAAATGTAGACTTTAGTAACGTTAAAGAAATTATGAATAGTGCTAGAAATAGTGAAATGGTGGTAGAAACTTTAGTGACTAGTAAAATAAGTATATGGACTTTAAGTCTTTATGTTCTAATACTGTTAATTATAATTTTTATTGTATTTAAATGGAAATTTAATAGTTTACTCAGAGACAAAATTATCCGAAGTCAATTCCATTTCCTTCGAATAATTTTTTTATTGGGGAGGGAGAGGTTAAGAGTGATGACCCCTCTAATATCTGCTTTACAAGCACTCTTAATAAGCAGGCCGTGCGTCACCGTACCATTGCTTAGTAAGATGTAAATTTATATAAATACTAGAATAATTGATTGTTAAATTGATATTGGTTTTGGAAGTAATTATAAGTTGTAACGCTGCTACTTTATATAAATAAATTATATTTTTTAGTAAAGTCGTTGTTGTTAACTTAATTCGTACGCACGCACACACGCACGTACGCACATTCGCTAGCACGCATGCACGCACGCACGCACGCACGCACGCTCGCACGCACGCACACTAGCACGCACACACGCACGCACGCACGCACGCACGCTCGCACGCTCGCACGCACACACGCTCTCACGGACGCACTCAAGCATGCACGCACACACGCACGCACGACCGCGCATGTGAATACGCACGCACGCACGCTCGCAAGCATGCACGCAAGCATGCACGCACGCATGCACTTACGCACGCACGCACACACGCTCTCACGGACGCACTCAAGCCTGCACGCACACACGCACGCACGACTGCACAAGTGAATACGCACGCACACACACACGCAAGTATGCACGCACGCACGCACTTACCCACGCACGCACGCACATACGCTCTCACGGACGCACGCACGTACGCTCGCAGGCACGCACGAACGCACGCACGCACGCACGCACGCCATTCGCGTTTTATAAATTCAAAGGTGAGCTATTATGGGTTACAGAAATGAATATCAGAATAATCAGTACAACCGTGTAGTGGTGATGGTGGTGTAAGAATATCCATTAGCCCATGGCGTCCCGTGGGTGTCATAAAAGGCGACATAGGGAAACAAGACAATAAAAAACTGCGATTGCGAACCTCTGGACTTTTTTAGGATGTAATGGATATATTATCAGAAATGAGACGTGGTTCAGCGGTTGGACGTGTATAATTACTATTTTTCGTGTATTTATTTTAAGGTTATTTGAAAAAAAATTGTATCATAAAATATTGAACCGTAATTTTTTTTTATATGAAATACAGTTAAGAATGAAAGTGTAAGTCGTATATTTTGTTTTAATCATGACTCTATGTAGAATCTCTTATAAATTTTCAAAGTAAGAAAATTACGAGCTATGGCTATATTTTTTACATGAAATATTATTGATGGGTACATTTTTTTAAAGAAGAGGGCGCAATCGAGCATGCGGCTCTCCTGATGATAAGTGACTACCGCCGCCTATGAATAACTGCAACACCAGGATAATTGCAAGTGCGTTGCCGGTCTTTTGGAAAGGAGTAAGTTCTACTATTTATCTAGAATAGTGTATCTACTTTGATCTTTGAGTAGAAAACTATCGCAATTAACTGGAATTAATATATACGGTCTATTTTGAGTAACATTTGACAAACGTATAGTAATCTCAGTAGTACACCCCACTCCTGGATGGTGCCACTGTGCTGCAATACAGTAATATGTTTAAATTATAAATAATGTAGTATTAAATAATAATACATATACACTTACTAACACATTACATGTACCTACACTAATTTGAGATTAACATGCAATTCGTACAAATTTTGGTGCACGGCGCATGAAACTTTCATTTGTGGTGATTAGTTGTTGCCCCAGCGACCGCCCAAGCCGAAGGTTAAGCTTGGACTAACGTACAGTCCATGTGGGGGCACGGTGCTGAATACCGCATGCCTCGATTATTATGACAAACGATCGTAAACAATTAAACATTTCTTTTCTAAGTAAACAATACATTTTTGATCGGAATGATTGATTACTCTTGCAATGCGTTAGAGTAAGGACATTAAAAAAAAACTAGTTGAGTTAAGAACTCATTCAACGTGTGGTGTCGTGTATGTTGTTAGCGTGGTTACACAGATAAGTGATGCCATGACCCAAAGTAGCGCATCTAGCAACTATAGACTCCATGGCGGGGTTCGCACTATTAGTGAAGAAAAGCTTATGGTAAATTACACATACTATAATTTTAAATTTTTATTTTATGTCTATGGTATTCAAAACACCTAAAACACTACTTTGTACCGTATTATTTACATTAATTACATATAAAACAATTAATTTCTTGTTTAATTTTATCAAAAATTTGCAATTATTATATTCTATAAAGAAAATTGTAAAAAAAATCACCAACTAAAGAATAGGTTGTCATCTTTTATAGAATATAACCTGAACAGCAAAGGACAGAAGCGTCAAAGGTACAAAACGTGCATGCCAAGTTTGCCAAGCGATCCGTCCTAATAAAAGGGAGGCCCATGTCATGTAGTGGAATTTTTGAGATTTTTCTAGTAAAAACTTTTGAATAGTGAAAAGTTGGGTACTTTTGGAATGGGGAAAGAGCACTGAACTTGCGTGACCGTCACGCTCATATACAAAAAGATTATGTTATAAATCAAATTAATAAAATTTTATAAAATTGATCAATTTATTTGTATAATATAGATAATAATCATTCTTTTTCATGTTAAACAGCGCAATAAATGAAAATTTTGTTACTATATGATAAATACGTTGATAAAAATAATTTCTAACAAAAAATACTGCCTAAAATACTTCTTAACAACCCAGAAATAATATTTATAAGTTTGTGAAGCTAAGAAGTTTTCACTTCTGACGTGCAGGCCTACGACTGTCAGTTTTTTTTTAATAGAACAAGGGTGACAAGCGAGAAAACAGTCCACCTCATGGCAAATGGATGCTGCGGCCCATAGACACGAGGACTAAGTTTGCCTTCCGTTTCCAGTAAAAGAAAGCGTATTAAATTAATCACAGGCACGCAGCCTGTGATTATTTAATACGCTAATGATGCAAAGTAACACTTTTATTCTTCGAATTAGTATTAAATTCGTGTTATTAGTGTTTATACCTACTACTTTATAAACAACTGGCTTGCTCGAGTTTTGCCCGCGAGAAAACAGAAAGGATCTTCATGATAATTTTCCCATATTATTAGGATGGAAACATATTTAATAAAAACCATACATGCGGCAGGTATCCGCTGTGGTACATCCTTGCAATAGGCGAGTGTTGTTCAGCAATAAAATGTGTTGATATTGATGATGGTGAATTCATATTGGTAATAAAGTTAGGTATGCTCATTTTAGAGTGTGGTGAGAGTAGGAATGTCTCAAGTCTTTTTAGAAGAATTTGATAGCAGTTCTTTATATAACTTATTTGCACCAACCGCTTGAACAGTTCTTGAGAAACAGTAGGGAATAATACTGACACAGGACTATCAAACTGATGTCAGTACCCTTTTTCCTATTTTACATTTTGGACATTGTTGAGCTTCTACTTCTGAATCCAGATATACTAATACGAACGATACGATTTGAAATTTTCTCGTTTTGTGACGGCTCGGAATAAAGGCATGGCACAGGAGAAAATGCTAATATCCCCATAATATCATTTTCTCCTGTGCTTTGGAGGCGTAATACATATATGAATTGCACATAAACAAACATTCAGACCCGAAACAATTATTTGTAAGCTATACAAATACTTACTTGATTCGGGTCCTGCAGCGTTGTTACCAAACGTTTAGCAACCTTGCTACCGAGACGTCGTAATATAATTCTATATGGTAAACTCGTTAGCCTAGAATCTATCTGTAGTCGGTGAAGTTTGCCTTAGTCCCCCCTCCTACTCCAAATAGAATACGAAGGAAAACTAAACTAGACTTGATTTCCGTGGTTAAAGTATAGATTTTACGGAACACTACAAAAAAAATATATTTATTTTTTAATTTAAGTTTGTATTTTTTTTTATAAAACTGATGCGATAAACGAACTTATAATCCACCTGATGGTGAGTGGCTACTGTAGTACATGGACATCTGCAGATAACGACAAACAAAGAGGGCTACAGATGTATTGTCAGTATCACCTCTGAGGACTAAGATGGAATGCCACACAACCTGTTAAAATTATACTGACTCTCTATATCTTTAAGACTAGAATACAGCAATGTAAGCAATAATAGGTATATTTGGCGGATTAGTAAGCTGAAGTGGCAGTGGGCCGGCTATATAGCTCGTAGAACCGACAACCGATGGGGGAAAAAGGTTCTCGAGAGGCAGTCTCGTACAGGTAGGCGAAGTGTAGGGCGACCCCCCACTACATGGATTGACGACCTGGTAAGACATGCAGGAAGTCGATGGATGCAGGTGACTCAGGACCGTGCTTTGTGGCATTTATTGGGGGAGGCCTATGTTCAGCAGTGGACTTGTTAGAAAGTTTATTATTATTTGATAATAAAATTTTAGCATTTTTTAATTGAATACGTATTTAAAAAATGCTATGATAATTTAAGTTAATTTAGTTTTGCAAACAACTAATGTTTAGGTAAAAAGTTAAAGAAAACAAAAGTTTTTTAATGCACTTATTTTTCACATGGGAATGGGGCTAGCAGTGAAGGTCTTGCGAGCCACAAGACGAAGGTTGTATGAAGGTATTGCATGAAGTACATATGTATGTAAAATACTAAACTTGTTAAATTTATTAGCTGGACTGGTTTTGCTTAACATAGTACGTAATAAAGCAAGTTCATATAAACATACATAAATCGGTTATGCAGAGTCACAGATTTGAGATAAAAAAAATATAAATCATTAAAATAAATATTTATTATAATCGCAAAGATCAAAGTTAAAATTGTATTGATGTTTACATCTTTAAATATGTTTTACTTATTAAAAATATTTCATATTCATATTCATTTACATAAGATGAAAATACACGATACTTATCTTTAAAAAAAAACTTGTATTAAAAACTAAAATTAGTCTAGAGCGCTGGCTGCTTTTCCTCGCTGAATGACTGAGCGATAAAAGATCAATTACAATGAGCGACAAAAATCATTTATAAAAGAAAATAAACGCTAAAATATTTCCCTATAGGCGAAGGTCACAGTCACAGTAATACCTATTTATTGATTTTTTTATTGATTTATTATTGATTTTTTATTCATTACAACCTATCAAAGTCCACCGCTGAATATGGATTGCCTAAGGGGGATAGTTGCTATAGTTGCCACACTTAATTTCCGTTTCTTTCTCTCTGTCGCCTCTTAAACGGAGACATGGGATAGTGAATATTCTTACACTGCCACTGATCGACCAAAATATTGAAAATATATTATATGCATTGTAAAACATTAAAAAGTGAAGTAAGAGCCTTTAAAGGTTCCACCTGTGGCGTAGCAAGGCGCAGCGCCCGGTACAGGAGATTTTAGGGGAGGGAATTTTGGGTATAAAGTCACGCCTTATCGTTTTCATTGACCACATTGAAAACCTAAAAAGATCTGTGTTCTTTAATTCTTTTGATTAAATATCATGAATATGCTAATGCTAGGTGCACTGAAAGTTAAGTAACACTCATTTGCACACACTCACTTGCCCAAAGGTAAAATAAGTGATTTATTTAACAATATATTATTTTGTATTAGGTATTCATTTTAAATGATTCACGAATGCTATAGAAGACTTCTTTATATTTTAAATTTTTAAGATTGTTCGAAAATGGCTCTGGCGGCCCCGGGCAGCATCATCCCACATGCTAAACTACTGCGTTCTACAGTTGGGCGTAGGCATCTCTCATTGTTAAGCTTATTATTTCTCATCGTTAAGCTTATTTTTGTATATATATATTATAGGAGAGGGGGCAAACGAGCTTGTGTCTCACCTGATGGTAAGTGACTACCACAGCCCATGAACAATTGCAACACCAGGGGAACCATGGGAACCAGGGGAATTGCAGATACCTTATCGGCCTTTTAAAAAGGAGTAAGCTCTTTTTTTGAAGGTCCCTAAGTCGTATCGGTTCGAAAAAATCGCTGGTGGTAATCGATTCCACAAGGAAGTTGTGAGAGGAAGAAAACATCTTCTAAATCGCACAGTGGTAGACCGCCAATCATCCAGATGATATGGATGGTATCGCGAGATTTATCGCGATGTGCAATGGTGAAATTGAGCGGCTGGAATTAGTCCAAACAATTCCTCAGAGCTCTCCCCGTGGTACATGCGATAAAATACGTAAAGAGATGCAACATCTCTACGCAGTGCCAGTGAGTCAAGCCGATCGGAAAGAACTCGGTCGTCGACGGTTCGAACCGCTGTGCGCTGGATGCGGTCAAGTGGAAGGAGCTGGCACTGGGGAGCCCCTGCCCAGAAATGGGAACAGTATGTTATATACACAAAAAAGGCATCCGAATCGCATTATGGAAAAGTTGTCTCTTTCAGGTGGCAGTACGTGTGCGACCATTAAGCGGGAATGAGGGTCCACGCATCGTGCACGTTGTCAGCGATAAGGTGATGATCTTTGTATAACGAATTGAATTTATATGTAATGTTTTGTGAGATAGAACTAGGGGGTAGACTTTTATAAGATACTCCTTATTTATTTATATACGCCCATGAGCTTTTTAAAAGGGAATATCACAAATAATGTTGCAGCTTTTCGAATACTTGCGGAATGATGTTTAATAATTTATTACAATGATTGAGTGGTTTATTGTAAATACTTTAAATATTTACCATTGCAATAAGCAGCCATGAAAATATATAAGTAAATTCAAATGAAAGAAATGTTACATACTTTTTATGATTAAATTGTTTAATTTATGACGTCACGGAGCCATTTGCTAATATTTTCTAACAATAGATTTACTATATTAACAAATTTAATATACCTATATTAAAGATGTCAATGACTTTTTTTTGTGTTCTAAGTAAAACGAATACAGTTCAAAAACAAGAATTTATATGGATTTATGCAAAAAATTACTTTAGAATTTTTAGGATATAAGAAAGAAATGAATTTATTAAAAAAAGTTTTAACTATTCTCATTAAAAGCGTCTTGACGGGAAAGTTAGAAGAATTCGTGCTATGTTCCTATGTACGTGCTATATTAGTGGTCGTAAACGCAACAGCTGATCACGAGGGCCCGGGTTTGAATCGGGTCGGGCCAAAATATGTAATTGGGTTTTTCCATCAAGAAATTATCATTGGCGGCCCGGAGTCAGGAATTTGGCGGTGTTTCATTCACCCCCGTGTCTCAGAAAGCACATTAAGCCTTTGGTCCTGTGTCTGATCTCTCTCCGGTCGTGTCGAATTACCATTACATCCACCGTCACATGGAGCTATGACAGTGAGGGAATAGAGAGCGCACCTGTGCTTGCGCATACACCTGGGCACTATAATCCTGTCCTGCGCCATTTGCGCAGGATAGGACATTATAAATTTTATGTAAATTGTAAATGTAATTTTCTCACAAAACTTTCTCGTCATTTAATTTTATGGAATAATATTAAAGAAATATTGGCGTTATTTTTTTTTTATGGGATAAGGGTGACAAACCAGCGCACAGTCCACCTGATGGTAAGTGGCTGCTGTGGCCCATAGACATCATCATAGAGGACTAAAAAGGAATGCCTCGTTTCCAGTAAATAGGGTCTGCGGTTCTCTACACTCACGACACGAAACACGGCAGTGTGGGACCGCTATTTGACGCTGGTATTCTGTGAGAGCGTGGTCCTTCCCCGGTCGAGCCGACCCATTCGTGCTACAACTATACTACTAATCTAGCTACAGCATAGCTGAATAACAGTATTAGACATAAATGAATGCAACGCCACTGATCGTTAATACGTTTTGTGATCAAGCCGTGAAATGATAACACTACACTGGTGAAGCGCAGCCACGTGAGTAGTGTAGTTGTACCACTTCTAGACCACCTGAGTCAGACGTGGTTCAACGACGTTCGTCGACGCCCGATCCTAAAAAAAAAAAAAAAAAAAAAAAAGTTTTTTAAACCATTTTTGTGTAGAATGCACGGTTCCAGAGATGTGTAGATCAATTAGCTAATATCTAATTGATATCCGGTAAGGGCCTCCACCGTCATTAGCGTCCCATTGTTCCTATTTCTATTGTTCTATTGTTCCTTAATCACCTTCATTGCAGCGTATGCGTCGACTATATCAGTGCTATTGTTTATTATAATTCTTTGTTTATACAACGCTAATCTGAATCATCAATAAAACACATTACATAATTTTGTTACAATTTTTATTTATAAAATACAAAATCTTATTAATTATTATCTATAGAATAGGAGCGAAACATCTCATCCACTAAAATATCGTTGTACAATGTGTTCCTTGTAAATATACTCGTAAAACTATGTATTGAACATCCTTGAAACTTATATAGTAAATACATTAAGCAATATTCGCCACAAACTGAAGTCCACTCATTCTGAATCCTATCAACATTCCTGTTCCATCTTTTACAATTCCTTTTTAAAAACTCTAGATGATATCGTACAGGTGATCGTCCATATGAATCAAAATATTGACCGACGTCATTCGTATCGATATATAAAGCTACCCAATGTGACCCTGGTTTATCATCTGTATCCAAATTACATATTATATACGTTGGTACGTGGGTATACATAGGCAGTCTATTAGCTGCATAAACATTATTTTCTAGACTGGGGTGAATCTTTTTCAGATGTTGTTGTACATCTAGTGTATCCATGATATTACTGCTATTAGTAGATTATTACAGTACCTAGCTACTCAATGAATAACATAGGAATGGTCAATTATAGTGATTTCTACATATTAAATTGCATTTTTGTGTTATACAAATCGTACTTGAGTCATTGATCACCAAACAAAACACAATACGAAGAAATGTTGAGATAGGCAACGGAAATGTGAGATAAACTGATATGTTTCTAAATATTAAATTGCATTTTTGTGTTATACAAATCGTACTTGAGTCATTGATCACCAAACAAAACACAATACGAAGAAATGTTGAGATAGGCAACGGAAATGTGAGATAAACTGGTTGACGCATAAAGTAATTTTATCAACTCATTACGGAAATACTTTAGATTAGAATTTTTACGTACTGGTGGTATATAAGACCAACAAACGCAGTCATCGAGTTAGTGTACGGTCGTTTGGCTACAGTGGATCTATCAATAGTACATTTGTGTTACTTCAATACACCAAAGGCTATGGATGTAAGTGTTTATTCTATTGACTAAATTACTTTTTTTCTGTTATTTTCATGTGTGTGTATTATTTTATTTAAATATTGTGTATGTATATGATTAAGGCGTGGTAACTCAGATGGTTAGCGCTAGCTGTAAATTTCACAGTACGCGACCCGGGTTCGATCCCCGCCAGCACCAATTAAATTGTTAATAGCAATTTTAAGTGCTTATTACCACGTGCTTGGTGGTGAAGGAAAACATCGTGAGGAAACCTGCATGTCTGAGAAAATTTCGAAGGCATGTGAAGTTCGCCAACACACATTGAGGGAGCGCGGCGGACATTTCCTTGCTCTAAAACCCTCTCAGAAATGAGAGGAGGCCTATGTTCAGCAGTGGACTTTAATAGGCTGTAACTTTAACTTTTTTAACTTTTATGATTAAGTGTTAACAAATTGATATTAACATGATAACTGTGTTGTTGCAGAAATCATTGAGCTTCGATGAAGATACCTATAAACAGTATTACTACTCGCCACTCTCCCCTCAAGAAGAGAGTGATGACCTCGTCATTAATAATAACACATGCGATGGTGGAAAAAGAAAATCGCAATCGATTGATCATTTTTTTGAAGCTGAATCAAAAATAAAAAAGAGGAAGCTGTTATCATCAACCGTAGCACGAGCCGCTAGAGATGGTGTATCATACATTTCTACTAATTCTGACGACGGAGACCAAGCGACGCATCTCATCAAAATTGAAATGTACGATATGAAGAAGCTATCCAAGATTCCAACTACTGATCATTGGAAAAATGCTTCCACTAGAATTAAATATTACGTAAAGACTAATAAGGATAGCATCTACGACAACACAAACGCCCTCGTATACAATATAACAAAGACAATAGCAGAAAGTGAAAAAGTTAAAAAATACTTTTTTAACAATGACAGTCATTAGCTGATCATTAGTGAATGTGATTCTGTTTACTTCAATTACAGGAAGACAAGAGCGGAAGGAAGAGATGAGTGTGGCATACGTGTACAAAACACATCATTGAATAACAAAACTACAACACTGAGTGGAGAAGAAAACGAGAAGAGTATGCAGTACTCAAGAGCTGAATATCCATTCTTCAGTTCAAAATCTAGCCGTTTGCTTAGTTTCGAAAACTGGCCTCTAGTTATGCGACAGAAACCTGAAGATCTTGCCGAAGCTGGTTTCTTTTATACTGGCCATGCAGACGGGACCAAGTGTTTCCATTGTGGTGGTGGTTTAAAAGATTGGGAAGATGATGATGATCCTTGGCAGCAGCATGTTCAGTGGTTTAGTCAGTGTGCTTATGTAAAATTTCAACTCGAACAGTGTTTTGTATTAGATTAAATAGAAGATTTATAAAGAAATAAAAAAAATATATTGCATACAATTTGTTTTATTTAATTTTATAACGTTTCACATAGTTACATACACACAAAATGCATTACACATAACACATAAAATCTAACACACAACACATATTATAACCTTAACTACTATAGTCTACAGTAACATTTCTGTTTTTATCTATCTCAATAATATTATCAAACTCAGCATAAACTATACAGTTAATTGTTTGTATTAATGAGGATTCAAATCGTACTTCTATTCTTACACTACCATGCTTTATGAGATTCCAATGAGTTGATGAGTTAGCTGATAAATCAGGAGTTAAGTCAAATGCTAATAGACAGTAACCTTTGCCATACTGTTCACAAGAGATTCCATTTCCTTCATTAAGAAAGTGAATACCAGTTCCCGAGAATAGAGTATGATATGCTGATGTAAATATGCTATTATTTAAAGATGGTTGCAAAGCTTTTGAAGGTATTTGTTGACCATCAATATATAAGCTGAAAGAATTAATACCATAGTTTTCAAAGTTAAATGGATTTTTAGTAAGGGAACCATTAAATGCAGAATTGTTCACAAATCCAATTATACATCTTTTCGGTACCTGTCCTAAAAATATATTATCAAGAATTTTTCCTTGAACACCCGAAGGAATTGTTAAAACTTTTACTTCACCTCGAGTAATAGGATATTTAGCAGTGGTAGAAGCTAAAACTTTTTGATGTGCGAGTAATACACTTGGATTAATTCGTGCTCGTCGAACAATAAGAGTTGCGTCCGTAATACAAACTTTAAACTTTACATCGTTTGATCCAACAATTAAATTAAAACTCTCTCTTGATCGAACCAATTTAACACTCATTTCAACACCATTAATTAAAAATTTATCTTGGTTAAAAATGTCACCGTGAAGA